TTACATCCACACTGGTCCTGCTGTACATTCTCGATACAAATTCATTTCTGACAATTTTATTGATGATTGACAGAAGCCTCTCACAGAATAGGTCCACGTCGTCGTTTAATTTATCTTTGATGAGAATAATGCGTTGGATGATATTAAACTTGATCCATTCATTGTTTATTTTGACAAACGATTTGTTCATTATGGCTTCGTGAGATTAACTTTGTATGCGTGCTTTCTGTGATTTGTTGGACAACATCAGTGCAACTGGTTGTGAGAGTTCAGTTCTTTCCTTATAACTAAAGAACGACGGCATCTCTTTTGAAGACAATAGATTTGCACATACTATTTCTCATAGAATACTGAGATTCCCAGTATTAACGACTCGGGTTTTCTACCCAGTGCAGCGACTTGAATATTGATTTTGATCTTTTAAATTGCGGGAACATTTCATGATACAACATTGTAAACTCCTATTTTCTAAGTTCATTAGTTTATTTATGTTTCAGAAATTCATATACAAGTTTCAATTGATTATTTGTCAAAAATGAATTTCTTTTTTTCAGTTAACTGATAAGGCTTAACCGATGTTGATATCTATTTTTGAAAATGTAGATGAGATCGGCACAGAAGTAAAGGAATATGAACTTGCGAGACTGGAAGTGATGAAAGGTATCTTTGTAATTGTGAAACTTATTCAGAATTTTAGCACAAGAAAATAAGGAATGGATTCCGGTTTTGATTTCAGCTTTGAATGAGGAGGAAAACTGTTTCAGAGACCCCAGGTTCATCAAACCAATTAATTTTATTAAGACGCCAAAAGTAGCTGGTAAAAAATCTCTCTCTAAAGGAATGATCAAAGTTTTCAATATTTTGTATCGTCCTTTCACTTTAAGAATACGTAATCAATAATGACTACATACTATTTTGTTGAATGAATAATAAAGCTCTTCTGGTTTAATGCACCAGTTTTTCGTTTCATTCTCTTGCATAATTCGTACATGGGAATCGTTTAGTAGATAGCTTAGTCAACCGAAAGTGCGTTTGTTATAATAAATGCAACTCAAGCACGTAACCAATGAATTGTCGTGAGGATTAGGTTGCAAAACCTAGAGACGATAAAGCTTCTCTGATTGAAATTTCCCTTTGTATTATTTAAGATCAGCTTTATTGTATAGAACTGGGGAAATGTAAATGAGAGATCTGTTTCAAAGGATGCATGTTTTTTACTAGCTTGATAATCACTATGATATTGTGATGAATGTAGTCTCATCACTTATGTTACGGTTAGTATGTAGTGTGCCGATAACTGCGTGTTCTTAAGCTTTGTTTATAAATCAGAAGATGAACTCGTATCGATAAATACGTTTATTCGAGGCACACCACAAAGCGAAGCGGAGAAGCGAATAGGAGAAGGCTAAGAGTCAACTCTAAGAGATAGAACATGACTAAGAATATATTGTCAGACAATAATAAGACAGACATATGACAAGCGAAATAGGCGTGCACACACATGAATAAATGCGACGAATGATTGACAAGGTCAAAAGCAAGCGATACAAATCATGTGAGTTCATGGGAATATTAAGAGATTAACATTAAAGCGAAAAGGATGAGTAGGCGCGTAGGCGTAAGCAATGCTCAGTCGTATAAGCTCATACAATGCAGATAATAAAAAATAACAATGGTACATATGAGTTGCTGCTATACAAATGGCTTGGTTAAATAAATTAACCAAAAGGGCTTAACCAAGTTAGTTGTAAGAGAACTGGAATATTTGTGGAGGCACTACAATAGCCCCCTTCCAGCAAACAAGGATACGAAAGTGTCTGTGTTTGAGAAAAAAATTCAAAATAGTCGGAAAACATCAAAATTTACGAAAATTGGAGTTGCCTTGTCCGAGTTCGTTCGTATGTTCGCATAGTAACAGAAGATCAAAAATATGTGGTAAGCGGATATTAGCAAAAATAATGGATTTCGAATAGAATACATTAGGAGCAGTTGTACGATAAAAAAATGTAATACAAATGCTGCAAAATACTCAATATCGTTTAGGCATGACAGTTAAGACGGAATTCGATAATCGCATAGACATTACGGTAAGGCTCATCGATAAATCGAGTGGCTGCACATAGGTGAAGAAAATGTGGTCGAGATTATCGTGAAAAAAATTTGGAGAATAAAGCTGCGTACAGATGCGATACATGGAAATTAAATGCATATAGAGAACATAACTTATTACCATTAAGTATATGACTCCAAACTTACGTGTATGATAGCGTTGCAAACCGTTGCCAGTGTTGGGGTAGTCGAAAACATGCGAATATCAGCGTGCAGGAGGTTCGCTCGACTGCTTGAACTGCTGCTTCGTGTGCATGTGCGTATGATCATACCACCAATTTACTTAGCAGGCTGCTAGATGTTCGAGTACGAGCAGCTGATGAGTACATAGAAGATATCTCCAATGCGATAATCGTATAGCCACGGAAATATTAATGGACGATAATTGTCGTTGAGCCATTGCTTTGATAAGCGATTCGAAACATAATAATGCGAAACGGCAAAATAAATGGAATGAACTCACCTTAATCATGAACGTCGTTCGTGTTATCGAAAGAAGTAATAATAATTCCCTGAGTTACAAATGTCGTGCCGTAGTTTAGTTCTTCTGGATTTTCTCTATTCATACGGTTGATTGCCCGATGGTTATCTTGCTGTTGACTTGTCTTCATTAACGTACATAAGTGCAGGTGTACAGTTAGTAATGATAATGATATTTATTCTCAAATAACTACGTTACATGAGTCATTGCAGTTTACAGGCTAGATCAAATTGTCACAAACGCTTTCACATTTACTGTAAAGTTATAGCAGTTAAATTAAGTATAAGGGTCAGTTTCTGATATTGCATTTACACCATGACACTGACAGAAACAGTATAATACCGCCATATTTTCAATAGCAGAGTACAAATAAGGAAGGTGCACAATAGGTTCCTTTGGCGATTTGCTGAGGCCAATAGTGAATTTGTTGGGAAAGGTCAAATGGAACGCGCTTGATACGAGCTGTTATCCTGTAACGCATTCGAGACGGAACTCTAATATCTCTTAGTTCCGTTTATCAGTTTGTCCTAATCTCACTCTGGCTTTATTTGTATATTGTATGTAAGTGCATCGTATGTGCTGACTGAGTCGTCGGCTCATCTTTTTCTCTTTATTGTAACGTTTGCTTAGATAATTCCCGGCTAAATCCTATTGCTTAGTATTCTCTGACCACAAAACACTGGACAAGTTCCCAAGAATCAAAACACGTTTGAACAGGGAAAGATTATATTCCAAAATAGCAAGGAATAAGAAGCCAGAGGTGTATTCGTATATTGTATTTAAGTGCATTCTATGTGCTGACTGAATCGTTGGCTCATCTTTTTCTCTTGTTCTTTCTTCTTTCAGATAATCACATACGCCGCTCCTCACATCCCGCCCGCAGCACACAGGGTACCTTCAGGTTAAACGCAAAGCAACCAAAGGCTGAAGTTACAATCCAGACAGTTATGTACATAGGGTGCACGTTCCTTAGAGGCGCCAAGGATTCCTCACCATGTTGTAATACAAAAAAGAAATGTGTGAGTAACCATACCTGTGTTTTATCCAAGAATGTTATCTGCTGAGTCATGACTCAGCTCCTAGTCTCTTACTTTTTATTTCTCTTATTCAGCACATTATTCTACTACTTAAATATTAGCATGGATAATTGCCAAAGACACGGTTACCTTTCCTAGAAGCCTGTAAATTTATAATCTAACGAATATCAACAGGAAGATTTTAGAACATTTACCTGATCGACTCTTGTTATATATGGATCTGTATTTACCTTGCATTGGTTCTCAACCGTCAGTGGTTCGTCGTAAAATAAGCAAGTAAGTAAAGTGAGCTATCGTTTTCTACGTTTCAGAGTCTGAAACAGTACAATTTCATCTGAAAAATTTCTTCCATCTCTAATCCAATGTATTTTGTGAAGTATTTACGTGACTAAGCAACACTTTACTTAAGATATGTTAGTACTTTTAACATTTTGATCTTCCCTGTAAATTTGCATGCCTCTTGTAACTTGTTATTTGAGAATAAATTGTTATTATCAATGCCCCAAACGCTTATCATAGTACATAAGCTAACAGATTGAAAGGAGAAGCAGATTACCAGCATAGTGGAGAGATAGCAACGAACATAAATACCATCATTATTGATAGTACTGCATCACTACTGGAAGTCTATAATTATAAAACTCAGGTATATTCAGACAACTTTGCAGTGTTTATACCATCGAGTTACCTTTCCCTCTAGTGCATTCAACCCCTCGATACAAATACTGGACATTACGACCACTCAGAAAATCTGTACTGGTTCTTTTAAAGAAGCCTTATTTGGGTAAATGGACAAGACTCGATCAAGTAGGAACTAGATAACCCAACAAACTAGCGGAACTTCCAGGCTGATCGGTTGAGCACATATTTTAGTCCATAAATAACCAGAGGAAGATTGCTAAAAAGCTTGAAGAAAGCCCTGATTAGTCCTGTATTCAAAAACAGGTGCGAGAAATAAACCTAAGAACTGTCTACCCACTAGCCTAATTCACGTGCTTATGTATGTCACTGATCTTTGATTCTCTTATCTTCGTCGTTCTTTCATGTTCTGAGTTATTTATTTGCTTTTCATTTGTTTAAACATATTACCACTGATATAAATAACAACGTAAATATATCGTCCCTACTAGGTATGTCCATGGTTGTCCGTATGTATTGATATAAAGGAAGGAAAGTCACGGCGTTTGTCTGCTAATCGATGTTTACGCAAACGAAGCTTCATGAAGAGACGTGGAGAAGTCCGAATACTTCACTCCTATCTGAAGTTTGTGCTGATGATGTTGTTCAGAGGAAGAACAATGAAAGAAAGCTTCGGAACCAAAATATCCAGCTCAAAGAACGAAACTCGACCACAAATATTGTTTCAGATAAGTGAATGTCCATCAACTAAGTCACCATCGAATTCTCGGTGGTGTAGCCTCCAAAAGTGACTTTAGGAAGTTTGTACACTTAAATCTTTGACTGAGTATAAGTTTTCTCATGATTGAAAGCATAGCTTACTGGTGAATACCTAATACAATTTATCATAGTATTTTATTATACAATTTGACTGTCTGTATTTACTAACTTGATAATTGTAAAGTTAAAGTTTATTCAGCTAAAGAACCAATGTACTAGTCAAACGCTATTCAGTATATGTTTTGCTCACGTTCGGGACTAATCAACTGTTCCTTAACTTTCTTTGAATTCTTCAATTAAAATCTATTCAGATACTTCACTTCTCTACTTGAAGTTTGTGCTGATAATAAAAGTTCCACGACGATCAAAGCATCCAACTGACAGAACGAAACTCCATCACATCAATCTATTTGAGTTACAAATTTTCTCCGTCATCTCAAAATTTGGAATTAAAATGAATCTTTTCACAAGAACACATCTTTATCTGATTAATTATTAATCGGTGAGATTTATTCACATCAACGTATTGAAGAAATAAAATATTTGTTTTATTTGTATACTATTATTACTTGTTATTATTGATAATAATAATAATAATCAATAAAATCTCTCTTTGTTCTATTTTCTAATTGCTTTCATATTTTATAATCAGTAAGCTAAATGAACTTTTATGATCAAACTTAAATATGAGACTGGATTGAAAAAAACAATCTACTAGCTATTGAAAAATTATAAACTCTGCTCAAAAAAAAAAAAAAAAAAAAAAAAAAAAAAAAAAAAAAAAAAAAAAAAAAAACATGCGAGATCAAAGTTCCTGGATCCGATAGACGTGTGCGGGGGGCATCATGGTTGAGCACTGTTGATGAATTCCATAATATGAAGAACCGTCGTCTAGTGATTCCATGTTTCTAATGGTAGTTTAAAAAATTGACCACTTCATGATTTTAATGAAATTGTTCTGATTAGATTGTAGTACTAGAGAACTTATGATTAGGTATACTGATAATCGTAGACGGTGAATAATCGACGGTGAATATGTGTACAGAATAATAGTTGAGTTAGAACAAAACTTAAATAATGAATGATACTTTTACTTACTTTACTTACACCCGTTACCCCCAATTGAGAATAGGCTGCCGAACAGTACTCTCCAACCTGCTTTGTCGTGAGCCTCCTTTTACAGTTCTGTCCAATTTTTGTTCATTCTTCTCATGTCTGTCACTATATCTCGGTGTAATGTGTTGCTTGACCTTCCTCTTTGCCTTTGACCTCAAGGGTTCCAAATGAGCACCTCCAGGTTATATCTTTTCATCTCTGCAGCAATTCGGAACATTCTTCCGATCTCCCACACTGTACGAATATTCCATATATCTATAAGAATGGTTGCTCTGATTGTCAAAAGGGGCATCGGCATCAGTACTTCTGAAGCAACTCGGCTTTTTCATCAGGAGACGTCATAACTCTTCTGAATGATGACCTTCTAACTCCCAGGGCAGAGTTAAAGTGGTTTGAATTATTTTTCTCTGCTTAAGGTTTTTTAGTGAGTTAGTTTTCTACGGAATGGGGTCGCCAATTCCATGCCTAGCCCTCCTTTATTTGTGCTTGGAACCGGTAGAACCGCAGAGGGGCTCCTGGTTGAGTTGATAAATTAAAGTTCAATGTATATTATTCATTTTGTTGTAATAAGTTAAAATAATCAGTTAGTGTGAATTCTTCCATCTTACTACAGGTTAGTATATTAGCATATTGGTAACTCAGTGAAAACATTTTTGATTATGACAGTAGGTAAAAGAGATTTGAATTCCGCTAGTAGCGTTTCAATCGTTTTAAACATTTGTATTATTCCTTTGACTGTTACCGATCACACATTCAACCCCATCGCTAATCTTAATGACTTTCAATTGCTTACTACAATCACGTGACAAAAACACCAATCGAAATACAACTCAGTGCTAATAACTTTAAGCCGTTGGCTAATTTCCTATTGGCTCTCGATTTTCTACCTTCGAGTTAAGAGGTCAGAATCAGACTTCACTACACTTTCATATATTTCAACCACACGTGATTTGAGCACAGATAGACTTGATCACATCATGTCATAAATGAAAAATATGATGAAGATATATGAATCAGCAAAAAAGTGGTGACTTCTGAAGAAATTCGGCTTTCATCATGAGACGTCATAACTCTTTTAAAAGAAGAAGACCTTCTAACTCCCAGGGTAGAGTTCAAATGGCTTAGATTAGCTTCCGTGCTTAGTGTTTTTTTGATGAGTTGGTTTTCTACGCGATTAGGTCGCTAACCTCATACTCAACCATTCTTCCTTACTCGGTCTTTGGACTGACAATAACGCCAGAAGAGCGGAGTTGAAAAAAGGAGAATATAAACCTGATAATCTAGTCTCTATTCGGTTCTCCATTGACATGCCTTGTTAGTAGGCGTTGACTATCACATAACCTTGATCCAAGGTTTTCTGTCAACTCCATAAAATCACTTCACATTCAGGTACGTAATCTTTGATTGTCTTTATTCCCACATCATTTTCATCCTTAACTTGACTAACAACTTTTAGTCAAAATGTTTCAGTTGAATAGTTTGTATTTGAATAATAGTTTAAATTCCTATATACTCAATGAGAGAGTTGATAGTTTCTTCAAAACAGATTGGGTAAAAGTTTGCAATGAACTTATCAATTGTGGTGAGTAATGTATGACTAGTTTCGTGACGTCGGCATCCAACGTGCTCTTTAACTTCATAATTTGCTCGTCCAGACAATCGTTACTAAATAGCGCCTGACGGTTTATAAATCAGAAGGTGAATACGTTTATTTTGGCACACCACAAAATGGACCAGTAGACCACAAGCACACAGAGAAAGTCAAGCACGATAGCGAGCGAGCGAGCGAATTGGCGAATGTATTGATACGATTAAAATGTTTATATATATACATAGTGAAACGTCCGAGTCATCTAAATATTCAATAGTTTAACATTAAAGCGAATAAGAAGAATATGCGCGTAGTTGGTAAGCCATGTTCAGACGTATCAGCTCATGCAAACCAGACAATAAGAAATAACAATGGTACATATAAGTTGTTGCTATACAAATGGCTTGGTTGAATAAGTTAATCGAAAGACTTAAACAAATTAAATCTGAGCGAACTCAAATATATGCGGGGGCACTAAACAATCTTTATTGGTAATAAGATTTTGAACAAATCTTTTAATACACTTGAACAAAATTTTCAATATATTTTGGTTCTGGTTATCAGTGGATTTTAAGACAAACAGTATGGTGCGATTTTCAACACGTAAACTGAATGTATCGAATTGTTGAAGTTCATTCAACGACTATAAATCAATACTCATCAATTCAAACACTAAGGCGTTATTTATTGGGTTAATAATACAACAATGGCTATTAACTTATTCAACGAATCTGACTTTATTTGTAAAGTCTTGTCTATATTCAGGACTACTGCAACATATCAGATATAAATTAATCATGATCAATCCTTTTCAAATCCTGAAAATAATCTTCCCAACAATAAAGTACAAATCCGTATGAATTATTGATTTTATAATTAAAAAATCAATACACTTTCAATAGTGAAATGATGAATCGAATAGATTCTTAAAATCAAAATGATTCAGTGCTCTCTATGGATTGAACAATTATTAGTCTTAATTCTGCTACAATAGAAATTTACTAGTAAAACAATCAAAAAATAATAATCAGAAAAAGTATAGAGAATTTTATATTGTACATAAATTTCTGAATAGATGTTCATACTATTTACGAGTAGTTTTATAATTTAAGAAAATAAAAAAAAATGTTTATGAAAACTGATTCACAGGTGGATACTTACTATTGACATTTTAGAAGTAAGAAATTATGTGCTTGGTTTTTGTTCTGATTGGGGATTGCTTAATACT